GTGGACAGTTCATTTTTTACATCATTGTTTTCTTCTTTAACATGAAGATGACATCAACGCTCATAATCTTTTCGCTGCTTTGCCTTCTGGTAGTGCAAGGAGGATTTTTACAAGTATGGAAGATCTAATTAATTAACATATTTCCGGCTAGTTTGACGACTAATTGTTTGAAACCATATAACTAATTAGCATAATTCACGACGATTTTTCTAGCTATTTTTTTTATATAAACTTTATTTCGCTGTTTGCCCCAAAAGCCATGCTTATCGAGGGGGCTCACAAAAAAATAAAAGGATATATAAAATTATTTACACCAAATAACACACAAATAAACAAACAAAATAAAATAGTGTTACAGAAAAGACAAGATACATAAACGCACAAAGCATTGCTAGGAGAAGCGACAAGTATCCAAAATATAACGTTGGACAGCACCGAACAATAAACAATTTTCATCAAAGCTTAATTGAACAGAACCGTTCAATAAAAATTCAAGTTTTCCATTGTCGTTGCTCATTAGCCATGCTTTTCCACAAACTTGTGCAGCAGAGGTAAGAAGTTCACTACGTTGAGCAGCAAAACGAGGACATAATAAAAGATAATGTTTAACTGTTTCATTTTGATGGCAACATATACATAAAGGAGAATTACAACAATTAATTCTATACAAATAGTCATTAAGCGCACAAAAACCTAATCTTAGTCTTGTATGTAAAACAGATGCCTTTCTCGTAAGAGAAAAATTTAACCATTTATTATAACAAAGCGGATGATAAATCTAGCTATCAATTCTAGCTATTTCAGTAGCGACTTTTTACTTTTAGCTCTGCTTAACTGTGGTGGTCTCTATAGCCTGTGTGGCAGGCCCTCAATTTTATGGAGGGGCATCTGTTTTACATACAAGACTAAGATTAGGTTTTTGTGCGCTTAATGACTATTTGTATAGAATTAATTGTTGTAATTCTCCTTTATGTATATGTAGGCTATGGTCTCTTGAGCTTTTTGTGTTATGTCTGTCATTTTTTGAACGAATTACGTTTAATCTGATGAATGAATTAGCGCATTCATTCCGTGTTTTAAATGATCTTTATACCTAATTAGTAAAAAATACGTCATGCATGATTGTAGATTGTGCTCAGCTAATACCTGATTAGAATATTTCACGTTCACTTGTAAATCGGGTGATGACAATAACGTTAGTTAGTAAAAGAAATCAATGGGACCAGCAAGAAACACCAGCAATGGTGGAACACCCCCAGTCGTCAACTGATTCGTAATAATAATTTTATCCCGTTCGGCAAATTGTTTTCCTAGTCAGCAATTGAATGCGTACGATTGCCAGTCCCCCCCACCCCCCTCCCAACTCCCCTCCCCCGCTCGCGAAGAATTTTGGGAAATAATTAAATACTCATTGGGAAGAAAATTTGCTAATTGAGCGAGCTCCTAATTCATGTAGCTGGCAAAATTCTCAATTTTTGATTGACAGATAGACCCACAATGCAATTTCACAGAACCCAAAATGCAATGCGCGAGATTAATATAAAATAAGGCGACTGCACGAGCACTTCCCGCATTCTTTTACGATTGCTTTCAGATATTCGAAAATTACAAACGTAAGTATTAAATATATGGTTTGGTTTTCTTAGTTTATCTTGCTTAATTTGAACGAGTTTTATAGTACGGCTTGCAGTAATCGTCCTATTTACAAAATTATTTGTGTCTGTTTATATTTTATCATTAGGTATAAATTTCCGCGTGGTTGGAAGGCCCTCAATAGACTTGTGAGTTTATATAATTTATGTATATATAGTTTTGGTTTTGGTTTAGTAGGTCTTGTAGATATGGCTATTTTTTACAATTATTTGTGTCTGTTGACTGTTGTCTATTTAGGTAATTTGAATTTGAAGCGCCCTAGTCGTAAATCGTGGTACGTTGAATTTTATACACCGCGGGTTTTGCGGTGCTCCAAGTGAAGACAGCAGTTGAATCACGGTTGAATAGACTTTGGCCACTGCATATGAATTATAGATTATATGGTTTTGGTTTCTTAATTTATCTCATAGTGCTTTAACAGTGTTTAGTATAGGGCTTGCAGATATCGTTGTTTTTTTACAATTATTTGTGTCTGTTGTATCTTGACTCTTTAGGTAATTTGAATCTGAAGCGGTCCTCGTGGTTGAAACCGGTTTTGTGGCGCGCAGAGTGAGATTAAACAGACTTTGCCTTTGGCCATTGTGTCTGTGAGTTATATATTATTTAGTTTTGGTTTCTCTGTAGTCTGTATTTGGCTTGCAGATATTAATCGTTATTGTTTATAATCGTATTTGTGTCTGTTTTATAAGTAATTTTATAATGTATGTTGTTAAATGTTATATTTTGGGCGGAAATTAAAATTAATTTATAAGTAATTTGAATTTGACGATTTTGCTGTGGGTTGCTGTGGGCATTCAATAGACTTTGGTCTTTGGCCACAGTCTGTGAGTTCTACGACTGCGCGCAGGCTATGTGGAGTGTGGTTCATTACCGTTTGTGCGTTCTGTATTATTTAATTTTGGTTTCTTAGTTTATTATTTGTATAATTGTATTTAGATTTGGTGTGTTGTTCAGGAAACAAGAACGGCAATGTCGATGCAACTATCTACAGTATGTTTAAAGTGAAGTTTAACAGCTAGGGTTCGAAATTAAATATTAAAACATATCACTAGGCTATATCAGCCTGTGTTTCCAGTCCACTCGTTCGATTGTCTATGATTTTACATAGCGAAGAGTTTAAGAATTATAGGCTTTCAAATACTAGTAACAATAGCAATACAATGCAATTTGGAAACATGTAAGAAAATATTTACCTACTATTTATGTGCAAAACCGTGTGACGTAAGCACTTCTATGAAGGCATATTATTTCCCTGTGTGCTATGCTTATGAGGAGTTTAACAGACATCCTAGTATATACACTGGAAATAACTCGGCAAAATTTAACTTACCCCCCCCCCCCCCCTGACGTTGAAATAGGGCTAGCCTGGTGATGGTGCCTTGAAAATAGGGCACCTGACCATCTTACCATGATAAATTTAGTAATAAAATCTACTGTCTGCAGAGTAGGCTTGTATGGGGGAAATTAGATTTGATTTCACATCATTGACATCACATCAAATAAATTGCTCACATATACGATCTCCATTGTTCAGTCGTTCACGCACTGTTCGGAAACGCAAATTGTTTGCATTTTAAATATGTCAGTCAGACAGTCACTACTCACTAGTACTAGTAAAAGTAAAGATTACATTTAATATGCTCTTTTTTAGTGCGCTGTGACTGTGATCTATAAATTTAAAGTTCATATGGTTTTTCGTTTGCTATAGTTCATATTGTTATTATGGTTTTGAGGGTTTTTCGTTTGCTAATTAATGTTGTTCCATATTTAAATATTTAATATTGCAACATCTCACTCTATTTCCCAGTGATATCCTGCCTCAAGGGTTGAATGCATACGATTGCCAGTCCAAAAGATTATATTATCTTTCATCACTTCTGTACTGACTAATGACTATTCCGTTGCATCCCAGCTGGGTGCTGCTGAAACTGTCATTATGTGTTTAAATTATCTCCATGATGGGATATTGTCAAGCAACTCCTGTTGTTATGCTGATCAAGGTCGTTGATTTGTAAAAATCGTTGGAAATACGTGTCACTGTTTATCTTCAGCGCGTAGTTCAACATGGAAGGCGAAAACAGAATGGAAGAAGCGAGGTCGCGATGTCGAACGTTCAAAAGAAAGATCGGACCAATTCGAATCAACTTGAATCCCGTAGTTTCCACAATTTCTGCGATCATCATTTGGGGACTGATGATTTGGTCGATTGTTGATACGGAGCGTGCTTCGCATGAAATGGGAAAAGGCAAGCGTTGGGTAACGGATAAATTCACTTGGTTGTACATAATCACACAGGATGCGTGGTTCCTCTTCCTAATTATTGTGTATTTCTCAAAATATGGCAACATGAAACTTGGCAAAGATGATGAAGAACCTGAATTCAGCGACGTGTCGTATTTTACTATGTTGTTTTCGGCCGGTATTGGAATCGGATTGTTTTATTTTGGCGTCGCTGAACCAGTTTTTCATTATCAACCCGAAAAACCGTACGGAAATAGATTTTGGAACAGGTATGCGATGTTTATTGTGGTGTCATCTGAAATCTGTCACTTTCAGCCTAATTATATGTACATATTGCTTTACCTACCAAAAACAAAATATTTGCAAAGTTATACGGCGGTTTGTGAATTTTTGCCATTCATAGACATAGTCATATTCACATATTCTCATGATGCGAATTTTCTAGAAATGCCGGCGTTTCGCCATGCAGCGTCTGTTCAAGATATGTTTTGTATATGTATAGTATTCCAAAATTGACTTGATCCTGACCAATTACATGAGCTATCGACTGAACTATTGCCGTATTTGGAGTAAGTAAATCTGATCTGCAAGAATTAAGGAGAATGCTCGCCAGATATCAATCTTTGATTGGTACAACGCGTCGTAGGCGAGTTGTGTTGCTTGATTTATACAGTACAACTCAAGTTATAAGCAGGTTGCACATACGACAGTTTTAGGCAAAAGTTGTGTAGTTGTCCTTAAGCCAGACCAAAGGCAAAGTTTAATTTAATGTTGTTCCGACCATGAAAGTAAACAACTTCACACGCAAGTTCAAATCATGTGTATTGAACAGTACGGCACTCACTCAGTGGGGCATATCAGGCTATTCAAAATGTTTTAATTTCCATTGATCTGATGTTGTATTGTACGCTATACACGGTACACAACAGAGGCTTAAGATTGACGTTTACGGCAAACCGCAAACGGCAAACTTGAAATCGTAATTTGAAGTCAACTGTTACCTGTTCGAAGTTAGGGCAACTAGTGCACTAAAATTGGAGCATGAATTAGCACTTTTAGCTGTCGAAACTGTAGACCTTACTTACTTTCAAATGCAATTTGAAGTTTACTGCCCTAAGACTAAGTCCCAATTGACCTAATTACTAATATAATCGCATGCATGTGGTGTATAAGTGCTAATCTGATTGCAGCAAATGTTATTCGCATGCCAGATTTTTCATCAAAGTCAGATATTAGCTAATATTTGGCTCTTATTCGGCTCTTATATGTTGATGTGCAATGTGTTCGATGTATTAATTACATTTTTAATTCAGCTAGCAATTGTTATAGCTACCCTTAATTATTATTCATATGACATATTGTTTCTGTCTAAGAAGGCAATATAGCTTATACTTTGTTATTGTGTCGGCCTGTGAATGATTTTAATGATATGGTTCATTTTGTTGTTTGATAGCCAGTTCAAATTTCAATCTTATGTACACGCGATAGGCCAGACATTAACGGGGGGGAAATTGGAAAGGACTTTGGGAAACAGGGAAAGTCTAGCCAGACATTTGAAATATAAACTATTTTAACTTTGTTTTGTTTCAAAATATCATTGTCTTCGCCTGGCTGTAATCCATATATATAGAGAGCTTCCATTGTGGCGCGAAAGTTACGGATACACGCCACACGGGCAATGCGAAGAGAGAGAAATTGATTGTGTATCAATGGCAATGCAAAACTGCGACGGCAACACAAAGCTTCGCGCGATCATTGCAGAATTTTCAAATCATTTGATTTTTGGCAATGATTGCCGAAAATTGAGTGATGTGGTCAAGGTTGATGATTGACACGTTTCTTGAACAGCCAATGAAAAGCATTATGAAGACGTATATATTGCAGGTGAAATATTGCAGGTGTGGCCACCTTGCGTGACGGCAGCGCCATACTGTTATCCACCATTGCGTAACCATTGCAGCAAAAATATTGCTCGTATGTACCGAAGCTTTATAAGCGGTTAGAGATTAGAGAAAGAGCTGATAAAAATAGAGCGAATACTGGAATGATGTTAGTACGCAGCATCATGCCTATCCGGAAATAACGCGCAAAACGTAGGCATGGTGGAAAAGACGGAGTGCGGAGTACGGAGTCTGTCAAATTGTTTATTTCGTCTAGATTCGATTTTAATTAATGAAACTCCGCGTTTAATGATTTGCATTATTCAAACTTTTTGAGATGTATTGTCTTTAACCTATTTGGATGCGGCTAGCTCCGCCACCGATTTTATGTATCAGTCATGAAAGTTACATAATATATTTTTTCCACTTTATGGGGGCATATTAAAAGTGGAAAACGCGGAGTCTGGTTAAATCGAATCTTTACTCTTTAGGCAAAACAAAGAATTTTTTGACAGACACCGCGTTTTCCACTTTATGCGCCCATAAAGTGGAAAACGCGGAGTTTCATTAAAATCTAATGATGATGATGATGATAACTTTATTTAACCACGCTAACATTGTCAGCGAAAGCTGTTTTCCAAATGAGCGTGTAAAATATTTACAAATAGTTACAAGTACAATGAAATTAGAAAAGAATAAAGAATAAGCATGCAGATATACATAAATATTCAAAAAGTATCTATTTACAAGATTTATGAATCATATTATTTCAAAAGGTAAGAGTAGCGATTTTTCTTTTAAAACATGAAATCGATTTACTTTCTCTTATATATTGTGGTATGGAGTTCCAGATAGAAGCTCCATCGTACATAAAACTTTTCTTCATATTGATTATTGTTCGAATTTGGATTTGCCAAACGTATTGAACTTGAGTTATCACGAAGATTGTGGTTTAATATTTCCGTTTTGAAAGTAAATAATTCTTTAAGCGAATTTGTCCCATGTTATTAAGCGTTTTAAACATAAATTTTGCTTTGACTTTTACTCTTTAATTGTTGTTTGAGCGGTTCCCATCCTGTTGAATGAGCGGTTCCCATTCAGTACTGTTTGTTGATCTATACCTCATTTGGCGCATGTGTTATAATACGAGCAGCTCTGTTATGACGTTTTTGTAAACGTATTGATTGAGTTTTGCCGAATACATTCCAAACTTCACAACAGTAGCTGAAATTGGGTTGAATTATGGCATCTAGGCGAAATAAACCATTTTTTGACAGACTCCGTACACCGACTCCACACTGCGCCTTTTCCACCATGCAGTGAGTAGTGTGTTTGCGACAGATATATATCTAGCAATCACAAAAATACGTGCATGCAAAAAGATGATAACAATGACATAATACATACTGCATGACAAGGGCTTTGCGTAAAACATTTCTACGTCATAGGGTTCAAAGTCATCAACAGAGGATTATGGAATTAGGAATAATTAGCCATAAGGAGTACATCATTGTTCGAGACTTCGAGTTTATTAACACATCCAGTGTTTTAATCCGGTATTTTCCGATCTAATTAAGTTAACTGTTCAAACTTCCACGAATTTATAAAAACTCCATAATACCGTGCAGAATAAGCTTATCAAACCTTAATATTAGATAAATATTTGAACCCAATATCTGGACTCGATTAAAAATACGAAATGATTTCATCACGAGACGTGAACTGGACTGTCTGTGGGTGTGGCCGAGTCATATAAAGTCCTTTCAAAGACAAAAAAAAAATTCAATGAGCCCTCAGCAGAAACCATGTCTTGCTGTTTAAGCCTGGCGCACACGATGCGGTTTTAGTCGGCCGATAAAAATCGTTTGACTAAAACTAACAAAATCGTTGTGTGGTTCGGTGTCATTTTTAACCGATTTTTGTTGCTCGATTTTAATCGGACAACATCAAAACGTTTTGATATTATACGATTTTTATCGGTGGAATTTTAAGTATAACCAATCAGATTTCATGCTGTGATCACATGCTTGTATTTATTTAGCAACATGGCGGCTACAGTTCAATCGTGTGCGGAGTATACCGATGTATATCGGTATGTCAAACGATTTTTATCGGCCGACTAAAATCGCATCGTGTGCGCCAGGCCTTACCGACTAAAGATGTGCACGCGGTTGTAAACGCCACCTCCGACTGATTGTTCATAAGTAACCTCATTGACCTGCTGGCTAAATTAGACTAAATTGTCTACTTAATTGTTTTGTAACAACGGCGTTTTGGTTAGTGGTCATGCGGTTGCCGCCACTTGCCGGCGTTTCATCCAGTGCCGAGGCTAGACATATAGCAACAGGTCATGCTATTCAAATGTTTAATGATTTGCATTATTCAAACTTTTAGGGACA